CAAGGGGTCGTTAAAATATCACTAAGACCCTTTCTTTATGTGTGATTCTCATTAACCCTCTGGGGTCCAGGGTATAATTGGCCGTTTTTGACTACTTTTGATTTTACCTTTATATTTCACCTTTAAAATGTGTTTTTCTTGCCTTGTTTGGTATCATTATTTTCAGCACAACCTCAAATATCTGAAATTTGAGTTATTTTTTTTATTTTAGTATACTATATTAGCACAGTTGATCTAAATTCAGATAAAAAATTCAAAATCTGAGTAGAAAAAGGTTATATTTTTTATTGTAAAACCCGCAAACATGTTTAACAAATCATTTTCATAACTTGAAATGCAAATAGAAATTGTACATTTCTAAAAATTATGCACAAGTTTTGCAAACAACAAAGTTATATGGTACTGTTTACCTAAAAATGCAGCCAAGGCCTCAGGTGTTTTTTATATAACCATTTAAATCTATTTACAGAACAATCAGGTGTGCTGCATCAAATAAGAAGGTACACAAATTATTTGTGCCAGTCCAAAAAATAGTTTGTGTTCAGTATAAGACAGAGGAGAACACCACAGGCCTAAACCCTGCAGGTCTGACAGGGAGGTGGTGCATCAGTCCAGTTTTCCATGTGGGAACAGCGTTTACACTGGAATCTGCCTTTGACGCCATTTTTAGAGCAAATATGAAATTCAGCAGTATAACTGACACACAATACAAGACAATAACTACACAACACACTAACTACAGCCTCCAAACACGCTAAACGTCACTAATGTCTCACATATGAAAACTCGCTCTCTCTCTCTCTGTCTTTTGCTCGCCCGCTTTCTGTTGCGGGTGTCACTCCTAAAACTTCCTTCTCCCTAAACAACCAAATGTCACATGTTGCCATATCATTTTTTTGATTGGCTGACATGGTAAACTCTAACACCAATAGGGAAGGGGTGCTTTTTATTTTTGTTTTTTCACTCGCAAGCGGAGAGTGTTTGCTAGCGCTATCTGTAGAAAAGTTTTTACCGTTCTTCCCGCTGTAAACACCATTGTTTTGTTCAGTAAAAAACATTGCGTGTATTTTTTTTATCATAACTCTGGTTTTACTTGGCCCATCGACACAATTCAAAAACTGGTACATAGTTTGAAGTCCTCACTTTAGACCCAAGTTGAAATGGAGACTCTGACGTGCTGCATCTTGTAGCTGTGTCGTCTTAAATTGGTCATGTGATTTTGACGCGCCCGCACGTCCGGCGACCCCAGGGGGTTAAATCAGCATGGTTGAAGTCCCCAGCTATAATGTGCACTGCGTTTGGATGGAAGTTCTGCTGGTTGCTTATTGTCTTGTGCAGCTCCTCCATGGCCGAGTTAGCATTAGCATCGGGTGGGACATACACGGCCGTTACCATGACAACAGAAAACTTGCGAGGTATGTGGACGGGTCTGCACTTCACAGTCAAATATTCCAAATCCGGGGAACAATGGCTGTCTACAGTCTTTGTGTTTTTGCACCAGCTGTCATTGGTGTACATGCATAAACTTCCTCCTTTTATCTTACCAGAGTGGCCGTTCCTGTCGTGACGGTGGACCGTGCGGCCTGCTAGCTCAATAGCCGAGTCTGAATTGATGGCTGCAGCCAAGTCTCTGTGAGTAATATTATGCTGCTGTCCCGTACACACTTGTTGACTGCAATCTGTAATCTCAGTTTGTCGATTTTGTTGGTTATGGACCTGACATTGGAGAGGAAAATACTCGGAAGCAGTGGCTAGTGGGCCCACCCTGCAGCCACGCTTTTGCCTCCTTTGTTTACGTTTCCTCTTTGTCTTGCCACTGGGAAGAACCAACAACGGAGACCCTGTGGCTACTTTTATTTATTCACTCCACATAAAATGTAATAAATAAATCATATAATACAAAAACCAACTATTTAAATTTCAGCATTTTAACTATTTCAATTTTCAGCTTTTTCCTTTTAAACAAATTTAAAGTGAAACAACACAAAACACTGCAAATCACAACACAATTAAATATAAATTAAAATATGAAAACAAAAAGAAGATGCATATTCTCTGTCATATAGGCCTGCATAAATAAACTTTCTGAATCCTTTATCGTCCACAACTGAAAATAGTTGTGGATGATTACTATACCTTTCTAATGTGACATTGTTCTCCCTGGCTCTCTTTATCTCTCTTTCCTTCCTGCTCTGTTCCTGTGCTACTGCAGTGTAACTACCACCCCTCCCCCCTTTTCCCAGCGCAAAGCACAAGGCTCGCGTGTGGAGTGAAGCGGAAAAAACAGTGCAAGAGAGAGGGTGAGAGAAAGGAAAAAAAAAAAACGACGGCTCCCAATAAGGTTGGCTCTAAGAGACGTTTTTTTCGCGACCGACACACCACTATTATATCACACACATATACGGGAAAAGTGAGTGCGAGGGCCCTCGGTGCGCCTGCGTGCTGCTGTGCAGAAGTCTCACACACAATCTGTCGAAAGGGGAGGGGGGTCACGCTGCTTCTAAATACACTTCATTCATAATTTTGTAAATCCAAACCCATTATGTATTAATTATTTTTTCTTGGGTTGTGTGAATCCCCAGAAAAAAAGAAACCCTATAAAAAAAAAAAAAACGGATCTGTGCACTAAAGTGTGGGTCTGGTAGGTTATGTTGTGGTGATTTTCCGGTTGGGGGATGGGTGATACTGGAGTGCAAGCAGTCTCCACCTTCTTTGGGTGGAACATTTTAAATGCTTTTGTTTTCATTCGGATAGACATTTTGCAGTAAAATGGTCAAACCGACGATGAAATACTTCCAGATCCGGCAATAATCTGCTCATTAAACCAGACAAAGCTTCAGTATTGACATTACTGACTGATAGTCAATCATTGATGAACTACTGTTAGGTGAGTCAGATCTATGTCTACACATTGATATCTTCTATATCTATTGATTGCTGACAGTTTGGAAACAGCTTCCTGATTACTCAGACTTCACAGTCACCACAGCGTAAATTTTAAATACTCGGTAAACGTAGGTCGTGTGTTTGAAGCGGAAATGTGGAAAAAAACTGAATACAAATGTGATTTGTTCAGTTTAATGTGGAATTTGATCCTCTGTTTGTTTGTTTGTTTTAAAATGAGACCTCTCCGGTGTCTTTTTGCAACACTAATCATTTTTTAAATTTATTAATTTAGTGTTAAACTAACACTTTTGACAGTATTATATTTTTAACAGCAACCTAGTCAATGTTAAAGATTAACAATGGCTAAAACTGTTTTCTAGTAATTTAATTAAACACTCAAAAGAGTGGACACATATATACACTATTTAGTGTTAAACTAAATAGTTTAACACTGAAGATTTTGCGGTCTGGAAAGGAAAAACTTCTTTTTAACAGGAAGAAACCTCTGGCAGAACCAGGCTCAGGGAGGGGCGGGGCCATCTACCGGTTCGGGAGAGAGAAGGAAGACGGGATAAAGACATTCTGTGGAAGAGAGGCAGAGATTAATAACAAGTATGATTCAATACAGAGAGGTCTATTAACACATAGTGAGAGAGAAAGGTGACTGGAATCCCCCGGCGGCCTACACCTACTGCAGCATAACTAAGGGAGGATTCAGGATCACCTGGTCCAGCCCTAACTATATGCTTTACCAAAAAGGAAAGTTTTAAGCCTAATCTTAAAAGTAGATAGTGTCTCTCTCCTGAATCCAAACTGGAAGCTGGTTACACAGAAGAGGTGCCTGAAAGCCAAGGCTCTGCCTCCTATTCTACTTTTAAATACTCTAGGAACAACAAGTAAGCCTGTAGTGCGAGAGCGAAGTGCTCTAATAGGGTGATATGGTACTACAAGGTCATTAAGATAAGATGGGGCCTGATTATTGATAATGCATTAAAATAATAAGATGGCCAGTGAAAGTACTTACAGCTCGTATTCATGCTAAAATTATTATTTACTTATTTAACTTAGTTAAGATGTAAAACAGGTAGAAAGCCTTGTATAGCAGCATTGGCCGTGCACTCACACTTGTAATACCTTTATTTTGCTTTCTTAACAGGTTCCAAATGTGCTTAAAAGGAAAAACATTTGGTGTATTTTAATACCACATATATGTTATTGAAAGCACAGTGCATATTTTAGCACAAACACGTGTTAATTGTTTTTCCCTTTAAGAAAACATAAACTCACAAAAATTCTAAGCTCAGGGACCATGACATTTAACTTGTCAGTAATATCATTCATGCTGTTGATAATCTTGTCATTGTCAGTAAAACATAGAGGATAATTAATCTGGTGGTTTCTAATTATGCTGTTTAAAATACACCATGTACCTTTAATATTATTGTAGTATCTTCTAATAATTTACTGAAGTATTGCTTTAAAACAATTCTCATAATAGTTAAATTATTTTCATATTTCTGAATTCTATTTTTACCTTTTTTTGTTTTAATTTATTAGAAAGTTTCTATACAATGTATTTTTCTTTTTACAGGAATTGTACAGTCGTTTTCAAATTCACGACTTCCCACTAAATTATTTGTTTGGACAATTTTTGTCGTACAGTAATCTTAGGAAATGTATCATGTGCTTTATTAACATTGTTGTTTTTATACGTTTATAATCTTATTCCAAAAATCATGTCAGTCTATCCATTGTCTGTTGTCTTCTCTCTTCCTTTCTGTCTCTTTACATCACAGATGATCTGCGTCCCCAGACAGGAAGCAGCTTTGAAGTCCTGCCACAAAAGAGTGAGTCACACTGATCTCTGTTAGCCTGAAGTTAAAACATATTTTAATAGTAATCTATTTGTGCACTCTGTTAGAACTAAAACCCTCTGAATTTAAACTTCAGTAATACAAAAGGAATCAAACTTCTGTGTGCTGCATGTCTGTGTTTCGCTGCCTTTTCTAAATCTGTGTTTTCCACAGTGTCTGAGCTGAGGGTTGTTCTGCTGGGGAACAGCTGGACTGAGAAAAATGAAGTCGGAAATCTCTTACTGGGAGAAATTGTGTTCAGCAATCAACCTAAAGGGTGTACGAGAATTAGTGCTACACCCAAGGGCCAAAAAATTGCTGTCATCAACACCCACTACCTGCCTCCTCTCAAAACCTCCCAAAATGATCTGACAGAGTTTATAAGAGACTGTGCAAAAATCTCTGCTCCTGGACCTCATGTGTTCCTGCTGCTTGTACAGTCCGAAAACTTTACAGAAGAACATAAACTGAGACTCTGCAGAGTCCTTCAGGGTTATAGTGATCGATCATTTGATCATTCACTGATACTGATCTCAGCACCCAAAGAGGAGAGCTCAGATCCTGTGGAAGATTTCATGAAAAGTCCAGCATTAAATGAAATAATCAAAAAATGTAAATGCAGATACTTGAAGATGAGCAACATTGAACTCCCAGAGCTGTTAAGACATTTGGGTGAAATTATGAAGGACAACAATAGAGAACATGTGAGCTATGAAGCTTTTGAAGACACAACAGAAACTTTATCAGGAGATCAAGAAAACCCAAAACAAAAGGAGACGAAGACTCCAATCACTGATGCTGTTAAAGCTGCAGGTAAGAGGAGAAATAAATTCTGTCAAGAATATTATGCACACAAAAATAATTTGCACAGTAATGTTATATTTTCACAGGGCTGCACAACTCACTCACTGCTCAACTCTCACCGTCTGAGAAAAACCTTTTGTCAAAAAGTAAGTACAATTATTCTCTGATAGAAGTATTTCTACTGATTTTCTCCAAATTAACTGAAATATGTTTTATAACTATTTTAACTTAAATTCACTTAAAGCTTTTCATCTGGATTTCCAATAATAATAATAACTTTGTTAATATAGAACTTTTCAACAAAAAAAAAAGAGTTACAAAGTGCTTCACAGTTTAAATAAAAGCTGCACATGTAAAAAGCATAGGCACATATGAACAGACACATTACACCATACAAACAAACATGAAGAGGGAAAAGGTTAAGGAAATGCTAACCTATAAAAATAATTTTTAGCGGAAATTAAAAAGTAAAAGAAATTACATAATCAGCTGACCTGATTGCCTGAGGAAGGCTGTTCCACAGTTTGATTACTGCAAACTCAAACGCTAACCTCTGGTTTTAAAATCAGAGCGACGGACAGTTAGAAGACCTCCAGAGAAATAAGCAGGGGACTGTCCATGTAGAGCTTTATATGTTAATATCAGAATTTGAAAGTGGATTTTGAATTTCACTGGAAGACAGTGAAAGGATGTAAGGATAGGTGTAATAACCGATGAGGTTTGTTAGCAGCCTTGCTGGACTGACAGATGCACATTGCAATAATCAAAGTGTGTAATACAAGTTTCAAGAAGGTTTACTGATAGTAACAGTTTGATTTTCTGTTGTTTTTCAGATGAAGGAAACAAGAGTGTGTAACCTTTGAAATATGAGTTTGAGAATTCAGGTGCAGATCAGAAATTATAGCAGAGGATTTTATGTTATTGGCATATGTTAGGTCTAAACTCACAGACCTCCCTGTCTCAGAAACATGTTACTGTGAAAAAGCAGACACTCAAGCTCTTTTGGTTTTACTTGTTATCAAGGGAAGCATGTCCAGGAGAGCAGCGTTGCCACTCGCCCATCCAGGCAATGACTTCAAAACCTGACGTCCCTCTTTTGCCTCTATTTATTAAGATAATTCACAAGACAGTTAAGGCAAGCATATCTAAGCAACGTTAGCATCTGTATTCTGTGTGTGTGTGTTTTCCGCCATACCATATGGGCTTTTAACACCCCGACATGTACAAAAGCAGAAGTAAGCAGTCCTGCTAAACTTAAAAACAGGAAAATTATAGCAACTAGACAGCTTCCTGTATGCTCAAACATTTTAATCAGCACACATACAAGCAATGGAACTTTTCTAAAGCTGAACATAAAGCTTCTATTTGTCTAGCTCTTTCTGCACAATGACAAGTATATTAGGACACGTAAAAGCAATGGTCACATGACTTGTACTAATGACAATCTTAAAATAATGAACTCTAATAGTGTGGGAGGTGGTGTACTGACCAGTGTTGGGCAAGGTACTTTGAAAAAGAAATTAATTATAGTTGCTAATTACTTCTTCAAAAAAGTAACTGAGCTAGTAACTGGGTTACAATATTCTGAAAGTAACTAATTACTAGAAAAATAACTATTGTGTTACTTTAAAAAAATATCTAACCCTCTGGGGTCCAGGGTTTAATTGGCTGTTTTTGACTACTTTTGATTTTACCTCTACATTTCACCTTTACTGTTTATCTTGCCTTGTTTGGTATCATTCTTTTCAGCACCGGCTCGCATGTCTGAATTTATAGTTATTCCTTCATTTTGACATACTGCAATAATACAGTTGATCTAAAATCAAACAAAAAACATAAAATCAGAGTAGAAAAAAGTTATATTTTTTACTGTAACAACCACAAACATGTTTAATGAATAATTTTCAGAACTTAAAATGCAAATATAAATTGTACATTTTAAAAACCTACACACAAGTTTTAAAAACAACAAAGTTGTATGCAGCTATTTACCTAAAACTGTAGCCAAGGCATTTTTTTATAACCATTTCCAACTATTCACAGAACAACCAGGTGTGGTGCATCAAATAACAAGTCACACAAATTATTTTTACCACTCCAAAAAATAGTTTCTGTCCACTATAAAATACAGAAGAACATCACAGGCCTAAGCCTTGTAGGTCTGACATCAGGAGGTGTATTGTTTTCCATCTGGAGACAGCGTTTGCACTGCATTCTGCCTTTGGTGGCTTTTTGGCAGGGTAGGGTCCTGACCGTCATCTATGCTTATGCGCCGAGTGGGGGTTCAGAGTACCCAGCACTCAAAATTATTCGTGTGCACAGATGACTGACGAGATGAGACCTCCTTATATAAGGCAAGTTTGATTTGTGTTTCTGATATTATATTTTTTTTTCTGCTATTGCACAGCGTCTGCATTCAGGATTGTGTTGTTGGGCAAAAGTGAGGACAAGAAGACAAAAATTGGCAACTTCATCATTGGGCACCAAGGTTTTCACTGCCAGAAACAGTCCCCCATCAGGCACTGTGTGGCCTTTTGTGGAGAGTGGATAGGAAAACCACTAACAGTAGTGAAAACTCCAGACATGTTCAGTCTGTCTGAGGAGGACATGAGAAGAGAAGTAAAGAGTTGTGTGTGTCTTTGCCCCCCTGCACCAAATGTGCTGCTGCTGTTGGTGAAACCTTCTAAATTCACAGAGGAGAACAGAAAAACTCTGAAGTTCATCCTGAGTTTGTTTGGAGAAGATTCCTTTAAACACTCAATGGTCATCATCACACATGAGAATGAAATGAGTATCTCTGCGAATGAAGTCCTCAGAGAATGTGAAGGAAGGCACTACAACGTGTCTGACGATAACTATAGATCATTAATGGAGAAGATTCAGGAAATGACAAATCTGCTTAAGCAAGAACAGATCAAAACAAACAACAGCAGTCAAGAATACCTCACCTTAAAAAAAGAATCCCATCACACGATAGAACCTCTCTGTTCAAAATCCAATCTGAACCTGGTTCTGTGTGGGAGGAGAGGAGTAGAGAAGACTTCAGCAGCCAAGGCCATTTTAGGTCAGACAGAGCTTCATTCAGTCTCCAACTCATCAGAGTGTGTTAAACATCGGGGAGAGGTGTGTGGATGTTGGGTTTCCCTGGTGGAGCTGCCTGCCCTGTATGGAAAACTTCAGCAGGCAGTGATTAAGGAATCACTCAGGTGTATCTCCCTCTGTAATCCTGAGGGTGTCCATGCCTTCATCCTGGTCCTACCTGTGGATCCCCTCACTGATGAAGACAAGGGAGAGTTAGAGACCATCCAGAACACATTCGGCTCTCGGGTCAATGACTTCACCATGATTCTGTTCACTGTGGACTCAAATCCTACAGCTCCAGCTATTGTTAACTTTGTTAGTAAAAGTAAAGACACCCTGGAGCTCTGTCAGAGTTGTGGGGGAAGATCTTTTGTTCTTAGCATCAAGGACAAACAGCAGATCCCAGAACTGATGAAGACTGTGGACAAAATCAGACAATCCAGTGATAACCCAACTTGCTATACAACAGAAACATTTTTAGATGCCCAAATGGAAAGAGTCGTACAGCAAGATAAACTGATCAGCAAACTACAGGGTGAACTTGAGAAGCTGAGAAAAACCCAAAACACCGGTAAGTACTTTTAATTAAAATCATTTTTCTTTTTGTAAAGCTGTAAAGATACTGTACACTGGATAGTTCACTAAGTAGTGCGAAACTGAGAGGTAATAACTCAGTTGTTTTGATTCTCACACCGTCTCCTGCAAGCTCTAATAAGTCGTTAATAAGAGTTCTTGTCCATAACACACTGAGCTAAATTTAATGTAAATTTACATGATAAGTTAATTTAAAAACTGTGTTACAGCTATGACTGATGAAGATAAGCAGAGCCCAGAGTGTCTCAGGATTGTGCTGATTGGGAAGACCGGCAGTGGAAAGAGCTCTTCAGGAAACACCATTCTAGGGAGAAAAGTGTTTGAAGCCAAGTCAAGTCAAAAATCAGTCACCAAATGTTGCCAAAAAGAAAAGAGTGAGGTTGACGGTCGTCCTGTTGTTGTGGTCGACACTCCTGGTCTGTTTGACTCAACTTTGTCAAATGAAGAAGTTCAGGAGGAAATGTTGAAATGTGTCAGTCTTCTGGCTCCAGGACCACATGTCTTCCTGCTGGTGTTACAGATTGGCAGACTCACACCAGAGGAAAAGGAAACATTAAAACTCATTAAGGAAGGATTTGGGAAGAACTCTGAAAAATTCACCATCATTCTTTTAACTGGAGGAGATTCATTAAAGCGTGATGACCGGTCCATTGAAGATTACCTTGAGGAGTGTGATGATTTATTCAAGAAATTAATTTCTGACTGTGGAGGAAGATACCATGTTTTCAATAATGTAGATAAAGAGAACTGCCAACAAGTCAGTGAGCTGATAACAAAGATTGACACCATGGTGAAAGAAAATGGGGGAAACTGCTTCACCAATGAAATGCTACAAGAAGCTGAAGCAGCAATAAAAAAGGAAATGGAGAGAATACTGAAGGAGAAGGGAGAAGAAATGAAGAGAGAGAGAGAGGAGGTTGAAAGAAAACATGAAGAAGAAAAGGGAGCCATCAAAACAAGAATGGAAGAAGAGAAAGAAAAAATGCAGCAGGAAGCAGAACTGAAAATCAAAGAAATGGAAGAAAATATGAAAAAGGAGCGTGAGGAGAGAAAGAAAGAACAGGAAATGAGAGAAAAAGAGAACAGGAAACGGGAAGAGGAGGAAGAAAAACGT